GTGTGTGTGTCTGTGTGTGTGTGTGTGTGTGTGTGGTATCTGATCCGGATGTTTACTAATTCCATTTCTTTATGGCGGTCATTAGTCTTAAAAAGTTGACTAAATCTTAAAAAATTCAATGAAAGTGGTGATCAGCAATTGTATATGTTCAAATGTCTACTGTGAAGGATATCACAAAGCCTTGATGCAATCGAATGTAAAACAAAAAAGTTATGATTGATGAAAGTAGTAAATCGGTCAGATTTGACCCGAAGACAACAGGAGGGTTAAACATGAAGAAACACAACTTGCAAGAAAACAGAAATAATCACAGGTCGCATCAGAAATTGAATGTCAGTTATTTCACTTTATTGAGTTTCTGTTAAACAATAATCGTCTATAATTGGCCGTAAAACACAAAACATAGAAAACTGTAACGATGGGAGGCTAGCAGGAGGACGTTGCGACAGTCAGCCTCAGCTCCACTTTGGTCCCACTTTGGTTTTTTTCTTGACTTGAGCTCTATGCTGACACTTTGGTCCCATGGAAACAGCGGGGTACTATTGCACAAGCAAGCGCGCACACACAGACACACACACACACACACACACACACACACACACACACACACACACACACACACACACACACACACACACACACACACACACACACACACACGTGTAGTGAGAGGATTGGGAGGGGGTCGGGATGAGATAAAGTAATGTTTTGTGGAGCAGCTTCTCTCCGTCGCCTTAAGAGTACATGGTCAGCTGAAGCCACTGAGGGACAGAAACGGAAGCAGAGTTAGTGCGCTGCTCCTCAGATCATTTCCTGACTTCCAGTTGTAGATAAAGTACTACTGTGTGAAAATACTACACTAGTATTGTAAGTGGTAAGTGTGTGGTAAGTATTCCAAAACAAATCAGTAACTAATCAAATGTAAATGTCGGTGTTTTTCATTTAATCCCCCTTATTATGATATGAATATTAACTTTAATTTATTTTCAACACAGGTTAACATATATTTGGGCTTTCAAAAAAATACAAATTTATTTATTTATTGTTTTTGTTCTTTTTTAGTTCTTTTTATATTGTAAAAAAAAATATTTTATATCTAAGATGTAGTGGAATAGATGTATAAAGTGACCATACATATAAATACTGAAGTATAGAACAATCACTTTAAATGTGTGTTTTGTCGTCTTCATTGACATGTGCTTACTGCCTGGCCTCTGTAAACAGAAGATCTGACTGGATAACATATTGATTCACTGATAGATGTGTGGTCACAGCAAAGGGCTAATAAACAACATGCCCTCCCATGCCCACTAAAATTCATCCACTAAGTTTTCTGTTAAGGAAATCCTTTGATATACATGTTTGATTACCGTTAATATTGTCCTTAAATAAGCTAGAACTGAACAACAATCCAAACTCAGGTGGCTGTTTTTGTTAAAGTTAAAAGTTGTGGTAACTGTGGAAAAGGTCATAATAAAGGAAAACAATTATTTTAAAATACAGAAGATAACCTTGTTTTTGTTGTTGTGTTTACTGCATTATTATGGAAATAGATACATTTGTAAATTCTGTGAATTAATTTAAAGAATCACAGGTAAACTGTTTTACCTCCTTAATATCCAGGTCGATGCAGCCACTGTTGTCCTTATCCAGAGTCTTAAAGGCTCCTGGGGAGAACACACACACACACACACACACACACACACACACACACACACACACACACACACACACACACACACACACACCATTTATCATATGAAAACATGTAAACACATGAACATTGATTATTGCACTGTCCAAAATATCGACAGCGTCAATTGAAAACAACTTTAAAGGAACGTTACAATAAAGGTTGTGTAAATTGTGATTTGCAGAAAATAAAGATTTTTATTTTAAAACATTTTTCACGGTTCAAAAGTTATTTGTATGGCTAAATTAATGATTAAAATGATGCGTTCTTGTATAAAACCATAATTTAAAGTCTAAAATATGAGATATTATGAACATATATATTAGGCTTCAGAGGAGAGAGGAAGAGAGAGGAGGAGGAGTAGACTCACTGCACATGGCGTCCAGCCGTACCAGGCAGCCAATGAAATTGTCAAAGTCCATGCTGCCATGCTCATCGCTATAGCGACGTACAATCAACTTAAAGAGCTGTTCATTCAGAGGGAAACCTGGAAACGCACAATCACAGTTTGAAATGACACACACACACACACACACACACACACACACACACACACACACACACACACACACACACACACACACACACACACACACACACACACACACACACACTACTACGTTACGTTCTTACGTACTCACGACGTACGACGTACGACGA